TAATATTGGAGCAGTTTTGATTTGGATGTGCCAGTTTCAGCTTCCAATAAAGCTTTTCGTTGATGTGCAGTTAGATACCCCGCAGAAGTTAGCCAGTTGTTCAAAAGTTTAAGTTAAGATGTGTGAACTGAGGTAACATTTACGTTATTAATTTTTAAAGTAAAAATAGACATTTTCTTTTAAAAAGACAAAATTTGCTTTCTTTTATAAATTATTTTTTAAATTATTTACTAAGAACCGTTTCGAAGAGTTTTGTAACCTTTTGTAAACAGATATGTAAGTTTTTTTCATTTGTATTTGACAGCTAATTTTATTTAATATGCCTTTGTATAAGCTGTATTTTTGAAAACTGTTTGGTGAGACAAAAATAAATGTTTAATTTGTTTCTCTGATCTATTTTGAGTTTTATTTGAAAAAGATATTTTTTTTTTCTATATTTTTGATGTTATACAATTATTTCCCTAGTTACAACTAGTGGTTGTAATAGGTATAATTGGGCACCTCAAGTGGCGCCCTATATTAAATTTCTTGAGGTGTTTCCGTTTATTTTCATTCTGTTTGTCCCAAAAGATTTGTATAAGTACCCCTTTATTTCCTTTTTTGTAGTTGCCCCAATCTAACCCCCAATATCTTCAACTTATTCACGACCCAGCTCTCCAACAACCAACTGAGTGTCGTATGCACTTGTTTCGATTATTTTGTTTGCCCAATCTTGTCCCCCATATTCTTACCCTGTGGTAAGCAAATTAGTCGTTACAATTTTGACGCCCATAGCGTGGGGCGATTTTTAGATTTTTGATCCTTTTCCTGAAGCCACATATCTTTTTCAGTTTCCCCAGTTCCCTGCCATTTATATGAAACTTTTTTCCTTTTGAATAGTGCGCCAAAGTGTCTCACAAACAGTAGTATATTTGTATTACAATGTATGTTTTTTGTACCAACATTATGTATTGTTGTTTTTTCAGGTAATGTACTTATAGTGACATATGTATTGTTCTTCGTATATGTAATGGTAAATGAAAGCAAATATTTGAGTTGAATATTTAAATATGAATTTTTATTAAACTATTGATATTGAAAAGAAATTAAAAACAGTAGCAAATTATAGAGTTACTGTTACATTTTTTTTTTTATAGATTCGACAAATTTTACAGAATAATCGGTTTTTGTAATTTTTTATTTGTTGGGTCATTTTGAGTAAATGTGTGTATTTGTTTGAGTGACTTTTGAGCTATGTAGTTGAGAAGTAGTATTATGCAGTTTGTCTTCTAATTAACCGTCTCTGAAGGTGTGTTTAAATGCCAAGGGTTAATTAATGTTGTTGTACTAGGAATAGTCATTGTGAGTCCTAGAGAGATTCGACAAGTTTAGTCTCAGTAATAGACTGTTTGTTTATTGTGTATCCTTTCTTGTATCTGAATGACCACAGGTGTAATATTTGTGATCAGGAGATGCTGTTTTAGTTTTGACTAGGAGCAGTCTCATTTAGTTTTCGGAACAAGAGTTGGTTTATTTTGGTGTTATTTAGTGTAGCTCACTCAAAAGTCAAGTTTTCAATATTATTAGTATTTTGTCTTTCCTTGTATGTACGGTTTATGTTGTTTGTTAGTGTCCATGTTGTCCCATGTTGTTTGAAACCATTTTTTTAGTCCTTGTTAGTGGAAGTGTGAACTTTTAGGAGACAGGTTAAAGACCTCATTTTTTGTTTACCAACTGATTACTAAGTCAAGAGCAGAAGTTGCAGCAAACTGATTGAGTTTTGGATTTCAGTACGCGGGAGTGCAAGTGAGACTTACTATCAGGTGATAAATGGAAACGGTTGTTTCTTAAAATTGTCATATTTTCTACCAGTTGTTGAAGTTGATTTTAGTTATTTTGTGTGTTTGTTTTCATCCAATTTTTGAAAAATGAAGTCCACTCAGGTTAATCATTTGAAATCAGGAGAGTTATCTTATGAGCTTTTCATAAGAGGTAAAAATGTCCCAAATAAGACAGTTGATGATAAGAGAAAGATGTTAAGAGCTTTGTTGGCCAAGGAGGCCACTTTGTCTTCAAGTTTAGTCGATTTGGTTAATAATGTAGTAGATCCTAAAGAAGAGTTGAATGAGATCATGTTGATTATAAAAGATTTATATAGTTGTGCTCAATCAATAAATGTAGAATCAAATAAGGCTGATTTTGCTAGATTTGAGACAAGGTCTACACATTTAGATACCAGATTAGAAAATTTCCCTATGAATGATGTTGAGGAAGATGTATTAAAGTTTGTTGAAGAGTGTAAAGATGATTTGTTAGTGTTGAAGGGTAATGTGTTAGAAAAAGAGGAAATGTTTGATGATATAGTAAAACCATCCACTAGTAGCCCAGTTTCAGTCCCTGTAGTTCCCAGTTGTACAGTCCCAGCCCCAATAATACAGGTTTCAACTCCTGTCATTATTTCTGATCTACATATTAAGTTTAATGGTGAGAGTAAAGCTCTTCCCACATTTTTAGAGAAAGTTAAAGATTCTGCTAGGTCTCGGAATATTTCCGAAGACATCCTGTTTCGCTCAGCTATTGAGTTATTTGAAGGTAATGCTGCTATTTGGTATAGGAGTGTTAGAGATAAAATTAATAGTTGGGATGAGTTGGTAGCCCTACTCAAATCTGCTTTTTTACACCCAGATTATAATGATAATCTCTTCGAAGAAATTAAAAGTAGAAAGCAAAAAAGGAATGAATCCATAACCATTTATTCAGCAGCGATGGAAAACCTTTTTAAACGTTTGGAAACTTATCCTAGTGAAGCCCAAAAAGTAAAAATAATGAGGAAAAGTATTTTAGTGGATTACATTCCACTGATAGCCCTTAAAAGTTGTTTTTTTTTGTCGATAAGAGGAGGGAATATTGGTTTTGGTTCTTGAGTTTGTAGGGACAGGTTAGCTGCAAGACGGAAGGGAAATTTTTGGCGAGTTTCTTGTAAAATGTAACGAAGGAGGAGTCGAGATTTGAGTTCCAAACGGGGCAGACATGGACAATTGAGACCAAGATTTGATTTGAAGAGGAGTCGAGATTTAAGTTTCAAACGGGGCAGACATGTGACAAAGAAGTCGAGATTTAGATTCCAAGCGGGGCAGACATGTGATAAGAGTCGAGTTTTGAGTTCCAAACGGGGCAGACATGGACAATTGAGACCAAGATTTGATTTGAAAAGGAGTCGATTTTTAAGTTCCAAGCGGGGCAGACATGTGATAAGAGTCGAGATTTGAGTTCCAAACGGGGCAGACATGGACAATTGAGACCAAGATTTGATTTGAAGAGGAGTCGAGATTTAAGTTCCAAGCGGGGCAGACATGTGGGAATGGAGTAAAAGATTTGAGAGGAAGTGATGAAGAACTTCTCGAAGAAAAAAGTCGTTTAATTGTGATGTTGTAAGCCGGCATTCATTCGCCAAAATGGTGGAATTTTCACTCTAAGTAATATGTCGTTTCTGAAAGAGTGACCAGTAACTACTGTTTTTATTTTGGCTGAAGATTTATGATGTTTGAGCAGTGAACAAGTTTAGTTCCTGTTTGTTTTTCGTTTTTTTGAGAAATCCAGTTCCTTCCCGAGATGCCCTTTTCACCTCATGTAGAATAATATTGGAGCAGTTTTGATTTGGATGTGCCAGTTTCAGCTTCCAATAAAGCTTTTCGTTGATGTGCAGTTAGATACCCCGCAGAAGTTAGCCAGTTGTTCAAAAGTTTAAGTTAAGATGTGTGAACTGAGGTAACATTTACGTTATTAATTTTTAAAGTAAAAATAGACATTTTCTTTTAAAAAGACAAAATTTGCTTTCTTTTATAAATTATTTTTTAAATTATTTACTAAGAACCGTTTCGAAGAGTTTTGTAACCTTTTGTAAACAGATATGTAAGTTTTTTTCATTTGTATTTGACAGCTAATTTTATTTAATATGCCTTTGTATAAGCTGTATTTTTGAAAACTGTTTGGTGAGACAAAAATAAATGTTTAATTTGTTTCTCTGATCTATTTTGAGTTTTATTTGAAAAAGATATTTTTTTTTTCTATATTTTTGATGTTATACAATTATTTCCCTAGTTACAACTAGTGGTTGTAATAGGTATAATTGGGCACCTCAAGTGGCGCCCTATATTAAATTTCTTGAGGTGTTTCCGTTTATTTTCATTCTGTTTGTCCCAAAAGATTTGTATAAGTACCCCTTTATTTTCCTTTTTTCTAGTTGCCCCAATCTAACCCCCAATATCTTCAACTTATTCACGACCCAGCTCTCCAACAACCAACTGAGTGTCGTATGCACTTGTTTCGATTATTTTGTTTGCCCAATCTTGTCCCCCATATTCTTACCCTGTGGTAAGCAAATTAGTCGTTACAAATTCATCCCCGAGAATAGCAAGCAAACCTGGAAGGACCACATCAAATATATATCAGCTATATGTCAAAAAAGACTAAACCTCTTGAAATGTCTTTCTGGTACGAAGTGGGGAGCAGACGGTAATACTCTACTCAGATTAGGGTAATGGGGGGGAAGTGCTCCCCCTTTTATTCATATTTGGTTTTAATTGTATCGATGCTTCAATTGGGTTATTTTTGCCAAATCGAGAATAGGTGCACCAAGTACTTTGACAATGATCTTTATTTAGGGAAGATTCCAAATCTGTGGCTTTTCACGATTATTAATTATAATTTTTTTTCTCTTACAGTTAGCAGTAGCGCACTTGCTCCGTCAGTTTGGGGCAAGTCCATCTTCCGGGCATAGTTTTATATTCGTTTCCTTACGTTTAATTAGTTTTAAGTTTTTTTTATTTTCATAATTTTGAAAACAAAATACCTTCAGAAAGGTCTAATGAAACACCAAAAAATGAGAAAGTACTTTATTTAAATGCAAAAAATGTACAGTTTATCTTAATTTATGTTGTATATCTTGCGTAAACCTAATACTGAAGTTATGCATTCCTCTCCTAACATGTGGGGCTGGTAATAGTTTAAGGATATCCTCTTGTGTCTTCCATCTGAGGAAAGACACAGCACTTTGTTTTATTCCTCAGGAACTTCATCTGGGTATCAGTGAGAGAAATCACGTGGCCTATATATAAAATGTCATTTTTGTCCCGACTTTGGCTTTTGAAAGCCACCAGAACCCAGTCTCCCACAGAAAATTCAGGCGGAGAACCAAGAAATAGTTCCTCCTTATCATCGTCTTCTAACTAAATCTGGTCTACAAAATCGCTACCTTCAGACTCATCGTGTAAAGAGATCTGATCGTCGTCCTGGTCTTCATCACTTGAGTCTTGGAAGGTGCCTTTGCCTTGTCCGGCAGTGATTACTTCACTGCCTGCTGCAATTCGCTTCTTCTTTTTTGCTGGAGAAATACTGAAAACAGAAAAAAAATTATAAGGTTACGAGAGTAGCTCGCTAAAATCCTACGTCCATATTGTTAAAATACGATGAGTTTGTCTCGAAGGTGGCAACATCTGTCACATCTAGAAAGTCTCTTGGCGCTGATCTCTGACGTCTAAAATCTGCCATCGCCTTAAAGAAGCCTCGTAACGATCTTCGAGTACAACTTTACCATCAAATGGAAAGTTACCTCCCTTCTTAAATCCATTTTTGATAACTACTGGGTTAATTGTTGTCCATATTTTCCTAATCAGCTTAGAAAAAACTTTTTAGGAAGTCTCCGACCAGCAAACTGTCGCTGCCACTTCACAAGTTCTTCGTCCCACATTGATTTTAAAGCTTTGAACACCGCTAAATCCAATGGCTGGAGAATGTGACTTGTATAAACCGGTAGTTTGAGGATGGTGATTCCTTTCGATCTCGCGTAATTGACCAAATCTGCCGTGAGGTGGGTTGAATGTCCGTCGTAGATAACTAGTATAGGCCGATCAGGACCAATGGTTTTTACAATAGTACGCTCAAAATAGTTGCGAAATACAATAGCTTTAATCCAGCCATTTTTAGTAGCGGCATAAGAAGTACCAGCGAAGGCATCATGATCGTCGGCCATCCATTCGTCTTAGATATTTTTGCCTTTAAAAACGGTTAATGGAGGAATTTTTTCGCCACTAGCGCTTGCTGCCATCACCACTGTAGTGTTTTCCCTTCCCGGTCCACTGGTGGATCTTGTGCATTGTACTCCTTGCTTCCCAACAACTTTTGTTTTAGAGGGGTCACTCGAAAATCCTGTTTCATCTATATTGTAGATTCTCTCAGGTTTGTCAGCAAGTTTCAAAGATTGAATGGTTTCGCTCAATAACTTTAACTAAAATAATCTTTAACAACAAAAGGATTCATGGCTTTCGTCCTTACAAACTCAACTATTTCCGGTTTCTTTATTGACAGCCGATGTCTTATTTTAAAATTTAAGAACCAGTCTTCACCTGGTCTACCATCTTTAAATTGAGTTTTTAAGTTGTTTGATTGGACGAACTGTTGGGTTAATTCCAAAACTTCTTTACGGGACAAACCGAATCTTCATTGCTCCATCGTGCGAAGACCTTCTGCCAATCGCCTTTCTTCTGCCAATGAAATGTCGGTAGATCGACCTTGTCCTGATTTCTTCGAAAAAAACAATTTAAGATAAGTTGGATTCAATAAATTTATTTTTGTCCCCGGAATGCGTGATTTTATTTATGACATACCTTTTTGAAACACCCTGTATATTATAGTCTATATTGTACCACCGCTAATAACCTTCCATGGTTGATGCGGGTTATTCCCCAATAAAAGAACTAAAAAGATGATGAATAAGGATTATCGTAATTTGAAAAAACTTTGTTTAAGTAATCAATACTAAAAGGAATGATTGGAGATTCTTTCATTCTTCAAGGATGCATTTTAGACCCGATTAATTATTCTCAATGGATTTTGAAACCAAACACTAGTTATTTGCTCTACTTCTTGACAATTTTATCGGCAACGAGATCTTAAGATATTATTAATTATATTGATCACAGCATCTACAAAATAAATATAGGCTAATAAGCTAATAAAATCGTTTATGTTATATATTAAACTAAATATTCCTCGAGTTTTTATCGTGACCATAAAAGTAATACGCAACCCACGTATAGATGTTACCGCATGTAACAATTTTAGTCATAGAGGTGATAAACAAATACCTGTTATTTTTTCTACTGGTAATTTTTTTGTATTGAGATGGTTTTAACAATTTCTTCAATTTATCAGACCCATTATTTGGCTTCTACTTAAATTCTAAAATGGCTTGAACTTAAGCCTTCTAACTGTGCAATCACTGCCATCATTTTATACAGGTTTATAATAAAATTTATGATTGTCTCCGGTAATTCGAATTGTTCTACACATTTCCATAGGGTATCACGTAATGGTAAGTATTTGGTCTTACATTTAATTTATTTTAAATATTAACACCAAACTCTGATTTTAAATGAATGTTATTTTAAAACATAAATGATGTATCCTTCATATGATATTGACATACTAATAGCCATATGTTCTTCCTATTGATTTTCTGTTTTAATATGGGTAACCAGATCCTACTATATTTTACAGAGGAATTTACGACGCATTTGTTCGTCAAAATAAATTTATTTTTAAAGTAAAATTGTGACTTATTCCTAATAAAAATAGTAAATGAAATTTACATCTACACGAATATATTTCTTTAGTCATATGCCTAGAAGAGACTCATTTCAAGCACCAAAATGTGACATTAAAAAATGATGTTCCTTTTCTAAGAAACCGAGTTGCAGATCACTCAAGCGGCGGAACAGCAATTTTCGTAAGGGATGACATAGAGTCAACTAAAATATAACTGCAAACAAATCTCGAAATAGTTGCAGTATCAGTCACCCACAACATGAAAATCAATATTTGCAATGTATACTTACCTCATCCTACTGATTTAGACATAACTGAAATAAGCAATTTTTTAAGTCAAATTCCACACCCAAAAACAATATTAGGCGTTTTTAACTGTCACAAGAGTACTTGGGGAAGTAACAAAACCGACAAATGTAGCAATTTCTTGAATAATCTCATTGATAATTTAAATTTAGTTTTACTAAATACTGGCAAATCTACTAGGTCCAATTCATACAATGGTACATTTTCTGCCACAGATCTCTCTTGATGCAGTCCGTCGCTAACTTCTTTATGATACTGGGACACATTGGGGTATTTATATGATATTGATCATTTCCCTATCACGATAACCATAAACACTAATGATATATCAACTTTTAAAATTCACCAGGCATGAAAAATAAAGTCAGCTGACTGGGATTTATATCGAACACTGATAGAAGAACAAACAAACAAATCTAATTTAACAAATAACGCAAACCAAAGTCTTGAAATATTTAACAACATTATTATTTCTGTAACAACAATCGCAGTGGGAAAAACAAAATCAAGTCAAAGGCAGCCAGTTTCTTGGTGGAATAACGAAATTACACAAGCACTGACTTTGTCTAAACACGCTTTTAACATTTAAAAGTAACATAAAACTATCGAAAACCTTTTAAGGTTTGAAAATCTCATCAAAGCAGACAATTAATCAAAAAAGCAAAATGAGAAAGTTGGAAAAAGTACGTTTCTTTAATAAATCCTTCCACTCCCTTAGGCAAAATATGGAACAAAATCCGCAGAATAAAAGGGACAAAATACTTCCGAGGTACAGATACTCTTTCATACAATAACCAAACGCATTCAAACAAAGAAGACATTCCAGAACTACTAGCAGATATATATATATATATATATATATATATATATATATATATAGATATATATATATATATATATATATATATATATATATATATATATATATATATATATATATATGAACTTAATTCTAGTGATTCCAATTACAGCCTATTCTTTCCAGAGCACAGAAAACTAACGGAGTCTTCAAATATATAAATCATAGAGAGCGGCAATCCAATAAACAAACCAGTAAGTCTTCAGGAATTAGAATTTTGTTTGAGTGCTAAAAATTCGAGTCCAGGACATAATGATATCCACCCTCTTTTCTTACGAAATCTTCCTCGGAATGCAAAACTAATATTAGTTGATATTTTTACCAATATTTTTATTCACCATGACTTTCCTGATCTATGGTGGCAAGCAACTATAATCCTAATCCGTAAATATAATAAACCAAAAGACGATCCAAATTCCTATCGTCTAATATCACTTACGTGTTTTACCTGCAAACTATTAGAAAAAATCCTTAATTATCGTCTTAAATGGCACCTCGAAAACAGTAACCTAATAAGTATCAGACAAAGTGGATTTCGTACGGGTGGATCCACAACAGACAATCTAATAACACTTGAATAAAGTACACATGAATCCTTTCTGCACAACCAAAAATTTATTGCCGTATTTTTGACATAAGAAAAGCGTTTGACACAACATGAAGAAATCTTATACTAAAAACACTTCAAGAATGGGATGTTTAAGGGCATATGTTATCCTTTATTAAAAATTTTCTAGAAACACGAAATTTTCGAGTTAGAACCAATGGATTTACATCTTCCAGACGAGTATTTCAAAACGGCACTCCACAAGGATCTACTCTAAGTCCTACTGTCTTTCTAATTGCAATAAATAGTAATATATACCAAATAAAACTACCTGTATTTACTAGCCTATATGCAGATGACTTAGTCATTTATCTAAAAACAAACAATGTAACTCTGGGAACACATATACTGCAAACTACCATACACACAATTGAAAGCTAGTCGCAAAACACGTGTTTTATATTCTCTAGTGAAAAGGCACGTTATTTAATTTTTAGCAAAAGAAAAAATTATCCTAATGTTCAATTAACACTAAATGGAGTTGTCCTGAAACACGCAGAAAAACTATTTCTTAGGACTTTCTTCTGAACGTAACTTAAACTGGGAAAGCCACATAACCAATCTGCAACGTTCTTACCAATCTGACTTACTCTATACAGATTACTAATACGAAGTAAACTAGACTACGGCTGTCTATGCTACGATGCTGCTAGCAAAACATATATAAAAAAATGTTGACTACATTTAAAATATGAGCTTGAGATTAGTTTTAGATGCCACAAGAACTAGTCCAGTAAGAAGCTTACAAGCTCTGGCTAATGAACTGCCCTTAAGCCAACGAAGGCAACTCCTATCACTAAATTACGTTGCCAGAATCTCAGCAACAACAACGTAACCTACTCAACAATACTTTGCAGAACAAATATATCGTCCGATCTTTACAGAAACTTTGCAATAAAAAAACTACCATTTCCTGTGCGAATAAAACGTATTGGTCTTAATTTAGAACAGTTCAGTCTTACTATGCCCATTTATGTAAATTTTCCTCCTTGGATGATCAAACCTCCAAAAATAGACACGTCTCTAAAAGAACTCCCAAAACATTCCACACATCCTTTCCTTATACAGCAAGCTTATAAAAATGTAATATCCAAATACCCAACAACCCATCAAATCTTCACTGATGCTTCCAAATGTGATGAAGTACATGCTGCAGCCTACATCTACAAAAAC